TCTATTCAGGGGACACCATCACAGGGCCTAATAACATCAGCCACACTATCAGAGGCTCGTTCACCTGCACATCTACCAATGTGATATATGCCATCATGTGCCAGCAATCATAGAATCATAGAATATCAGGGTTGGAAGGGACCTCAGGAGGTCATCTAGTCCAACCCCCTGCTCAAAAGCAAGACAAATCCCTAATTAAATCATCCCAGCCAGGGCTTTGTCAAGCCTGACCTTAAAAACTTCTAAGGAAGGAGATTCCACCACCTCCCTAGGCAACGCATTCCAGTGTTTCACCACCCTCCTAGTGAAAAAGTTTTTCCTAATATCCAACCTAAACCTCCCCCACTGCAACTTGAGACCATTACTCCTTGTCCTGTCCTCTTCTACCACTGAGAATAGTCTAGAACCATCCTCTCTGGAACCACCTCTCAGGTAGTTGAAAGCAGCTATCAAATCCCCCCTCATTCTTCTCTTCTGCAGACTAAACAATCCCAGTTCCCTCAGCCTCTCCTCATAACTCATGTGTTCCAGACCCCTAATCATTTTTGTTGCCCTTTGCTGGACTCTTTCCAATTTATCCACATCCTTCTTGTAGTGTGGGGCCCAAAACTGGAGACAGTACTCCAGATGAGGCCTCGCCAATGTCGAATAGAGGGGGACGATCATGTCCCTCGATCTGCTCGCTATGCCCCTACTTATACATCCCAAAATGCCATTGGCCTTCTTGGCAACAAGGGCACACTGCTGACTCATATCCAGCTTCTCGTCCACTGTCACCCCTAGGTCCTTTTCTGCAGAACTGCTTCCCAGCCATTCAGTTCCTAGTCTGTAGCTGTGCATTGGGTTCTTCCGTCCTAAGTGCAGGACCCTGCACTTATCCTTATTGAACCTCATCAGATTTCTTTTGGCCCAATCCTCCAATTTGTCTAGGTCCCTCTGTATCCTATCCCTGCCCTCCAGCATATCTACCACTCCTCCCAGTTTAGTATCATCTGCAAATTTGCTGAGAGTGCAATCCACACCATCCTCCAGATCATTTATGAAGATATTGAACAAAACCGGCCCCAGGACCGACCCTTGGGGCACTCCACTTGACACCGGCTGCCAACTAGACATGGAGCCATTGATCACTACCCGTTGAGCCCGACAATCTAGCCAACCTTCTACCCACCTTATAGTGCATTCATCCAGCCTGTACTTCTTTAACTTGCTGACAAGAATACTGTGGGAGACAGTGTCAAAAGCTTTGCTAAAGTCAAGAAACAATACATCCACTGCTTTCCCTTCATCCACAGAACCAGTAATCTCATCATAGAAGGCGATTAGATTAGTCAGGCATGACCTTCCCTTGGTGAATCCATGCTGACTGTTCCTGATCACTTTCCTCTCATGTAAGTGCTTCAGGATTGATTCTTTGAGGACCTGCTCCATGATTTTTCCGGGGACTGAATTGAGGCTGACTGGCCTGTAGTTCCCAGGATCTTCCTTCTTCCCTTTTTTAAAGATTGGCACTACATTAGTCTTTTTCCAGTCGTCCGGGACTTCCCCCGTTCGCCACGAGTTTTCAAAGATAATGGCCAATGGCTCTTCAATCACAGCCGCCAGTTCCTTTAGCACTCTTGGCTGCAACTCGTCCGGCCCCATGGACTTGTGCACGTCCAGCTTTTCTAAATAGTCCCTAACCACCTCTTTCTCCACAGAGGGCTGGTCATCTATACCCCATGTTGTGATGCCCAGCGCAGCAGTCTGGGAGCTGACCTTGTTAGTGAAGACCGAGGCAAAAAAAGCAATGCCCCACTGCCATGTATATTGGTCAAACTGGACAGTCTCTACGTAAAAGAATAAATGGACACAAATCAGATGTCAAGAATTATAACATTCATAAACCAGTCGGAGAACACTTCAATCTCTCTGGTCATGCGATTAGACATGAAAGTTGCTATATTACAACAAAAAAAACTTCAAATCCAGACTCCAGTGAGAAACTGTTGAATTGGAATTCGTTTGCAAATTGGATACAATTAACTTAGGCTTGAATAGAGACTGGGAGTGGCTAAGTCATTATGAAAGGTAACCTATTTCCCCTTGTTTTTTCCTACCCCCCGCCCCCAGACGTTCTTGTTAAACCCTGGATTTGTTCTGGAAATGGCCCAACTTGATTATCATACACATTGTAAGGAGAGTGATCACTTTAGATAAGCTATTACCAGCAGGAGAGTGGGGTGGGAGGAGGTATTTTTTTATGCTTTGTGTGTATATAAAAAGATCTTCTACACTTTCCACAGTATGCATCCGATGAAGTGAGCTGTAGCTCACGAAAGCTTATGCTCAAATAAATTGGTTAGTCTCTAAGGTGCCACAAGTACTCCTTTATTGTATACATTGTATGTAAAGATTGTATAATTTGTTAGGGGTAGGACTTCTAGATTTGTTTAATTTGTTGCCTAAGCCTTATGGGGTTTTTTGTTTAATAAATAAGCTATTGATATGTGGTAGCATTTGTTGTTCTCTATTTGTCCATTTTAGATCACAATGGATATTACAAGGGGAAACTTGGATGAAATTTCAAGGCCTGCATCTAGCTCAAGAGCGCACCCTGTAAGCAGAGCTTTAAGTGCATCTTTGGAGGTTCTAACACCAGAGCCAGGCTTGTCAAAGGTATGAGCTTTGGCAGGTCAGAACCTCTGTGTGTCTCATTTTTCCCTATCTATAAAATGAAAAGAATAAACCTTTGTAAAATATTTATAAAGTGCTTTATGGATTAAAATTGATATGTAAATACTAGTGAGTATTATCATAGAAAGTCACTTAAAATGCAGTTCTAGTTTCAAGAGTGAGTGTGTGTACACAGGTCAGCTCTTTGTATGTATTTAGAGTGATATTTGCTTACTTTAATGACTTACATACATCTGTACTACTTTTTCCCCTCTGTTAGCCTAGATCATATTCTGTTTTATGCACCACCAGTCAAATTGTTAACTAAATTCTTCCCTCAATTAAACCTTTGTTACCCCATTGATAACAGGAAGGTTTCACAGATATAACTTGGGACAGAGTTTATGATGGTTCGTGGGGTACCCAGAACTGTGAATCACCTTGTTAAAACCTCCCCCCCCATCCCCCGCCTCCAGTGTGAGGGAGACTTTCTTGTGCTTAATTGGATATTAGCTCTTTGACACCAGCAGCCTGTTAGCTGCCCAAACAAAGTCCTCTAGGCTATGTCAGCCCTTACTTTGCCTTGCAGATTATGAATAGGTGCACCCCAGTCCCTGAGCCCCTTTTCAGTGTTCCCCTGTAGTGTCCAGCCCCTTATCCGCTGAACACTCACAGAAATATCAGGGAACAGTGTACACACCTTCTTGAAAAAAAAAACAACAACAAGAGTACTTGTGGCACCTTAGAGACGAACAAATTTATTAGAGCGTAAGCTTTCATGGGCTACAGCCCACTTCATCGGATGCATTGAATGGAACATACAGTAAGAAGATATATATAAAATATACACATACATACAGAGAAGGTGGAATTTGCCATGCAAACTGTAAGAGACTAATTAATTAAGATGAGCTATCAGCAGGAGAAAAAAAAATTTGTAGTGATAATCAAGATGGCCCATTTAGACAGTTGACAAGAAGGTGTGAGGATACTTTACTTAGGGAAATAGATTCAATATGTGTAATGACCCAGCCACTCCCAGGCTTTATTCAAACCCAGGTTAATGGTATTTAGTTTGCATATTAATTCAAGCTCAGCAGTTTCTTGTTGGAGTCTGTTTCTGAAGCTTTTCTGTTGCAGAATTGCCACCCTTAAGTCTTTTACTGAGTGGCCAGAGAGGCTGAAGTGTTCTCCTACCGGTTTTTGAATGTTGTGACTCCTGATGTCAGATTTGTGTCCATTTATTCTTTTGCGTAGAGACTGTCCGGTTTGGCCAATGTACATGGCAGAGGGACATTGCTGGCACATGATGGCATATATCCCATTAGTAGATGTGCAAGTGAACGAGCCCCTGATGGCGTGGCTAAAGTGATTAGGTCCTATGTTGGTGTCACTTGAATAAATATGTGGACAGAGTTGGCATCGGGCTTTGTTGCAAGATTAGGTTCCTGGGTTAGTGTTTTTGTTGTGTGGTGTGTGGTTGCTGGAGAATATTTGCTTCAGGTTGGGGGGCTATCTGTAAGCGAGGACTGACTGGTTTGTCTCCCAAGATCTGTGAGAGTGAGGAATCATTTTTCAGGATAGGTTGCAGATCTTTGATGATGCGCTGGAGAGGTTTTAGTTGGGGGCTGAAGGTGACAGCTCTTGAATGATTCAACTCAGGATCATCTCTTTGTATAGTATCACAGCACTCAGAGATATATTTTTAGTGAAAACCACGATACATTTATTATCAAAGATTTGAGATTCAGGTGATAGTGAGTAAAAATAATAGAAACAAAAGGAATGTATACAACAAAATCATAGCATGATTTCTAAAGACTAAACTTAATAGACTAACCTTCTATCTATAGAAGTTTATTTCACCCCAAATGTCCTTTGCAGCATTTCAGCCGAGGTTAGTTGTGATCCCGTTTTCCAGAATGTAATTGCACTGCCTGATTACTTCCTAAGTGCAGGATAAAGGGATGTCTTCCTTACCTTCTCCTTCTGTCCCCCGAAGTTCATAGCCTGTACCCTGAGTCAGGATAACCCGCAGTAGTTTATTCTCCAGTGTGCTGCCTTCCTGTTGATTTCACATCCCTCCACCTGTTGACTTTGTATGGAAATGTGGCTTCCACTGTGTCGGCTTACAATGCTCAGTTTACATGCTGACAGAGAGAAGAATAAACATCTTTCCTCTGGCAAACAGAAAACTTGTTTGTCAGCTCTGCCTTGATACAGGCTGTCACACGGTCTGGAGTGGCTCATGACCGTGAGTGCCTACCTCAGGACAGAGTGTCAGAAACAGGGAAGACATTCCAAACTGATGGTATGTTCTATAATTAGATTTCACCAACCAAGTAACAAATGTGAACTCCTGGATCATTATAGCAGTCTTACTGTGAAGTCACAGACAGTCCCCTTATGCTCTCCAGTCTATCTTGCTACCAAGGCAAGCTGGATTTAGTGATTAAGTGGTCACTCTCACCAAAAATCACACAATATTCAGGTTGCTTCCAGTCCCCAAGAGACCAGTCACTTACCTTAGATCAGTTGGTACCCTAATTCTTACACCAAAGACACTGCCTGTAGCCAATCCTGTCATAAACTATCTACAGGTTTATTATCTAGGAAAAAGACTTAAGTTATTTACAGGTTAAAGCAAGCTAATATGCGCACTAATGAGTTGCAGTTTAAAACCTAGGAGTGACAGAGTTGTAGTGATCTGTCCATTCAAAATGTCTTTCAGTGCAAACCCAAGGATAACCCTGGGGGTTCTCTTACTTCAGTTTAAATTTTCTGGCCCTGTGAGAGTTCAAACAGCAAAGAGATGAAAAATTCTCCTGTGACCCTGTTTTATCTTTTACAGTTAGGCCTAAACGACAGAGTTAGGCTGATTTACGTCGACATAACTATGTTAGTGTCTACACTAAAATTTTGCTCCTGCTGATGTAACTTGCCCGCTATGCCAACTTAACTCCACCTCCACAAGTGGCGTAAAGTTTAGATTGACATCGACTATTAGTGGCCTCCAGGAGGTGTCCCACCTTGACCACTCTTGTCACCGTTTTGAACTCTGCTGCCCAGTGGCCAGGTACACAGGAAGCTGCCTCTCCTCTTTAAAGACGTGTGAATTTTTGAAATGGCATTTCATGTTTGCTCAGCTTGGAGAGCTCACATAGCAGTTCTCAAGCAAACCTGGCAACTTCCCAGCTGACCATGCCGGTTCCACACTGCAGATGCACTCCTGTCTGGAGTACACAAGAGGTGTTTGATCTCCTGAATCTGTGGGGAGAAGAGGCTGTGCAGACACAGCTCCAATCCCGCCAGCAGATCGCTCAGATCATGGCGGAGGAGGAGGGCTATAAGAGGGAGCAGCAGCAGTGCCGCATGAAAGCCAAGGAGATGCAGCTGGCAAACCAGAAGGCAAGGGAGGTTAATAATTGCTCTGGTGCGGAGTCATAGACCTGCTGCTTTTACACAGAGCTGCATACCATCCTCGGACAACACCCCTCTCCCCCCACAAAGAGTCCCATGGATAGTTAGGAAGCGTTACAGGCCTCCACTGTGAACAGCAAAGAACAAGAGGAATATCAGGAACAGGGGACTGACAAATCCAGCTGTGCAGCAAGCCAGGACATGTTTTTGAGTCCTGTGCAGTCCAGCCAGTCCTTACAGCCCAGGACAGGCGAGCATGATGCAGGGAAAGGAACCTTTGGTAAGTATGCAGTTTGCTTTGATATTGCAGGGATGGAACCCACAAAGTACCAAGACATACATGTTGATTTACTCTTTTTTACTTATGCTAGATGAGGTAGTGAAACAACCAATAGAGGTAGAGTTGCCATCTGCTTTTCATTCCCCTGTGGAGTTCAGCAGAGGAAGCCCCATGGAACAGTTTGTTTATGTGCACCGGGATGTCCTATGAATCCTCCAGAGATCTCGAGGAAACTTTCCTGGAGGTAGTCTGCAGTTCTCTGCTGAAGGTTTCTGGGAGGGCTGCCTGATTTCTTCCACTGCAATAGGATGCTTTCCCATGCCACTCAGCGATTATGTCATCAGGCATCATTGCAGCACACAGCCTAGCAGTATATGGCCCCAGTCAGCAGCTGGATGCCTGCAGGAGCTGTTCCCTTTCAGCCTCCATTACCCTCAGGAGTGAGATATCAGCTAAAATCATGACTGCCTGTGGAAATTGGTGCCAGTATTCAGTACAGTTGCCCAATGTGCATGTACTCATGCCTGTGAGCTATGCCCCCTTATTTCCCTGACTCGTCCCTTTCCCCCAGGGCCATACTCACCATAGCTGGGACTGCCTCCATGATCTATCAGTCCCAAAGAGAAGTGAGAATGGAGTGCTTGCAACTTGTGTGGATCAAGGGCAGTGAGTTCTGTTTAGCAGGATTCCATTTATCTTGTGAATACAGTCACAATTGTACCTATGTGCATTGTATCTTTTGCAGCTGGAAATGTGGCCTTGAGGCTCTTTTCATCCACACCAGTGGAGCGGCTCAGCCAGATAGGGAGGAGAACGAAGAGGACATGGGATGACATGTTCCAAGAGATCCTGCAAGCCTCTGCTGCTTTGGATACTGAGCACTGGTCTTGGAGAATCACCCCCGCAGGCAGCATGAGCAGGGATAGAGCGGAGAGGAGAAAGAAGTGAGAAATGGACAGGGAAGTGCAGCAGCAAACAGGCATGCTGCAGACTCTTGTTGACTTTCAGGTTCAACAGTACCATGCTCACCTTCCTCTGCAGCCCATAGAAAACCATATTCTGGGACCTCCCTACACACACACACATTCCACGTAGCATCCGGGGCTGCTGCACTATCCCTACCACTCTACGCCGGGGGAGCGTACAGGCAGTCACAGCTGCACATGCACTGACCTGTGAAAAAGACAGTTGGCATATGTGTTTCTGAAATGGAAATGACTGTTCTTTCCCCTTCAAATGTTCTTTTCCCTTTACTTATTACGTTTTATTTAGTTATAATGTGTCTGTTTGCATGGGCATGGTATAAAACTCTATTTATGGAAACGTAATTCATCTTTTAGTTCACAACATATGCTGGCTGGGGTGCTAGTAACAGGTGAATTTGTAATGGTATATTACTACACACACAGCACTCATTACAAGATTCATATGGGGTTGCAAAAGAGCAGTGCCAGGTAGAGCACACTACAGCAACACACATGGTTTTTCAAAGCCTCTCTGAGCCAAACAGCTTTGCGTAGAGCTGCTCTTATAGCCCTGGTACCTGGCACTGCTCAAAATCAGCAGATAGCTGTTCCATGTCTGCCCTCCACCCCAGCAGAAACTTTTCCCCCTTTGCTTCACAGATGTTATGCAGGACACAGCAGGCACCTATAACCAGTGGGATATTTTTGTCACTGAAGTCCAATCTCGTGAGTAGACCGTGCCAGCAACCTTTCAAATAAGCAAAGGCACATTCAACTGTCATTCTGTATCTGCTGAGCCTGTAGTTAAAGCGCTCCTTGCTGTAGTTGACGTGGCCAGTGTATGGCTTCATGAGCCATGGGGATAAGGAGTAGGCTGGGTCTCCCAGGGTCACTATTGGCATTTCAATATTCCCAGTGCTAATCCACCAGTCTGGAAAGAAATTCTCTGCTTGCAGCTTTCCGAACAGTCCTGTGTTTTTAAAGACGTGAGCGTCATGCATCTTCACTGACCAGCCCACATTGATGTCAATAAAGTGTCCCTGGTGATCCACCACCGCTGACATTACCATAGAAAAGTAGCTCTTTTTGTTGACGTGCTCTGTGGCAAGGTGGTCGGGTGTCAAAATAGGGATATGTGTGCCATCAATCACCCCACCACAGTTTGGGAACCCCATTGATGCAAAACCATCCACTATATCCTGCAAATTGCACAGAGTCAAGTCCTTCACAGCAGGACTCAATTAACGGCCCTGCACACTTGTATCACAACAGCCCCCATGGTGGATTTCTCAACTCCTAACTGATTTCCAACTGATCAATAGCAGTCAGGTGTCACAAGTTTCCACAGAGTGATCACCACTTCTCCACTTCAGTGCAGATCGCATTTTGGTGTTGCTGCACTGGAGGGCTGGGGTGAGCTCTGCACCCAGAATCAGGAATATGACCTTGCACATCTGAAAGTTCTGCAGCCGCTGCTTGTCATCCCAAACCTGCATGACAATATGATCCCATCAGTCAGTGCTAATTTCTTGGGCCCGGCCCTGACATGTCACTATCTGCATTTCCCCATGAATGCTTCCAACAATTTTGAATTGTTTCTATGTCCCACAGCAATCTAGCCTCCATGGACTCATCATGTTCCCCGTGGCTTCTCTGGTGACTCTGCAAATACTGCAGGATCAGGTGCCCCATGCTTGCAATGCTCATCACAATAGTGCAGGGCTGTGCAGGATCCATGCTTCTGACACAGATGACAGACAGCGAGCAGGGATGTGTGGGTTTGTGGGGATTTTGAAAAGAGGTGTGAAACATTATGGGATACAGATGAAATTATGGGATGGAGAATACTGCAATTCGGGATGTTGAAATCATGCTCCGAGTCACCCCTGCATGACTTTTTCGGCCCCCATGAGGCATTGCAAAACCTCACGAAAATACCTTGTACTAGATGGTGGCTAGTTGCACAGTGTAATAGCTACCCATGGTGCACTGCTTTCTGCTGACACGAGGAGTGTAGTTTGGACACGCAAAAGCGATTTAATTACTGTGGCAGCTGTATGCCAATGTAACCTAGGTCCACACAATTTTGTAGTGTAGACATGCCCTTAGTCTTCCAGTGTATGAGACGAGCTCCCTTGCATGTACATTTCTAAGATGTGATAGGGCCATTCACAAGCTTAGAATCCTTTATGTCACGATGTTCCTTAATGTCTCATTTCATCTTGGTAGGCCACCTAAATGGGCAGGGGAGATGATTCCTGTGCCTGGCTTCACAAGTTCAGAGCAAACATTTTCAAAGTTATAAAGCAAAGCTTACATATTTCCTCATGGCATGGAATACAGACATTACAGTTGAGATTAATGCATGCAGCAATTTACAAGCATTTCATAGAGTCTAAACACTGAATACATTCTTGTAAGACTAATACCTATTTTGAAAAAACTAACATACAGGTGAGCTGGTTTGGTTTCCAGCTATGAGTTTGTTAGTTCTTAGCTAATGCCTATGGCCTTGGCCAGAGCTGGCACTAGCATCACACAGACTTGAGGAACTTTTTGTCAGTATATATACATAACTCCTTACATAGGATCTGTACGTACATTTCACAATGATATTAATGACCAGTGGGACCCTGGCTTTCATTTAAGACCTAATATTCTTTTGTGCACCAGATTGTTCATACCAGGATATTTTTGTAACCCCCTTGCCAGTGGGCATTGAGGAGTTCTGAGGGCCACAGAATCTTTTATTACTGATGATAACTAAAGCTATATGAAAGTTGCAGGCTGTGATTTTGTTGCGGAAACCTCTGCTTTTAGCACACACCTTAACTTTTTATAGTTGTCTCAAATTTCATTGGTGTTGTGACCCTGTGTGTTAGGTGACAACACCACTCACTTGAATTTGGCCCAGCTGCCCCTTCAAAGGGGTGGGCAGACCAAATTTGAGTGAGTGGCGTTGTGACCCTCAGTCAGATTTGGTCTGACCACTCCTCTAAAGGGGTCGTTGGGCCAAATTCGGGTGAGTGGTGTCGCAGCCTGGCACATGGAGTTGCAACATCACTCAAATTTGAATGGACTGTACCAAAACCACAACTATATCAAACAGCGGCTGCAACTTTTGAACAAAAAGAGTCACAACTTTCTTACAGGCTTAATGCTGATACATGAGCCAGAAAGAGCGCAACTTGACTTTCAGATCCTGGGTTGTGCTTGCATGGTTAACAGTTAGAATAGATGTGACAATATTTTTTATTGGACCAACTTCTGTTGGTGAAAGAGACAAGCTTTCAAGTTACACAGAGCTCTTCTTCAACTCTGTGTAGCTCAAAAGCTTGTCTCTTTCACCAAGAGAAGTTGGTCCATTAAAGATATTATCTCATCCATCTTGTCTGCCTAATATTCTGGGACCAACATAGCTACAACCAACACTGCAAACAAGTTAGAATAAATATCATTTGCACTTGTAAACTGAGCACACTTGGGAGATCTCAGCTAAGTGGAATTCCTGATTAAGCACATCCTGATTAAGGTGAGGGCTCTGTAATAAGTGGAATACGATTAAAAGATTTTTTCAAGTGCCATTATTTAATTATTTCAACAAATTCCAGTGTAAGTACAGTGTTTGACCCCATTGTGAAGATATTAATATTTGAAATCAAATTTGAATTTAAGGCAAGGAGTGTGGTGTAGCATTATATCAGTGTCTGGGAATCAGGATGCCAGAGTTAGTACTGCATTGACTTGCTGTGAGGTTTTGAGCAACTCATTTTATCACTTTGTGCCTCAGTTCACTCATCTGTAAAATGAGGATAATACCTATGTACCTGACAGAGGTGTTGTAAAGCTTTTTTATTTGTAAAGTGCTCTGAGATCCTTGGATAGAAGCAGCTGCAGAACTGCAAAGTCTGGTTTGGTGTCACTATTATTAGCAGTCATAAGAAAGAAAAGAAAGTATTTTTAAAAGATTAATACTTCTGTGGAAATTGTTAATTTACATAATTTTTAGGTTTCTTCACCAGTTGAGCGTAAAGAAGACAATTCAAGAAACAGCAGTGTAGAGGAAAACAAAGATGATGATAGTGAGAAGCATGAAGTGAAGAAAATGAGAACATCTCCACAGACTTCTGAGCGGGAAATTAACTGCATTTTCCAGCAGAAGATACAAAATGCTAATGAGTGTCCAGGTATGAGAATGACTAAGTTTACCAGCAATAGGGTTACCATACGTCCATATTTTCCCGGAGATGTCTGACATTTTGGTTTTTAAATCACCATCCGGGAGGAATTTTTAAATATCTAAAAATGTCCGGGATTTGCCATTATTATTTTTCCCCAAAGAAGAGTTGATCATTCAAGAGAGAGAGTGAATGCTGATCACTCGAGAGAGTGTCCGCTCTTTCCCCCTAGCTCCCAGTGCTTGCGCCGTGAAACAGCTGTTTCGTGTGGCTGGGAGGGAGGGAGGAGGAGGGGGAAAGCGGCTTGCTCAGGGGAGGAGGTGGGGCCTGGGCGGGGATTTGGGGAAGGGGGTCCAATACAGCACGGAGGGGGCGGAGTTGGGGTGGGGACTTTGGGGTAGGGGTTGGAATGGGGGCAGGAAAGGGGTGGAGTTGGGGCGGGGCCAGGGGCGAGGAGGCACGAGCAAACCCCCCCCCCCGTAGAGTGTGTCTTTTTTGAATGTTAATTTTGGTAACCCTAGTCAGCAATGCCAACTACTATTATATAACTTGGGTAAAATTCTACTCTTGGATCTGCAAATGTGGAATGCTGTGTCTGTAAGAACAGAATGATGAAGTCAAAATTCACCCTGTGGATATGAGAGCAGAACTTTGTTCTTAGTATTTCATATTTGCACTTATGTGAATTAACTTGGAGGAGGAAAAAAAGGTCATGGATGAGAGGTGCCCTAACATTTGTCAGTTATCTTAGTTTTTCCAACTTAGCAATTGCAAGTGTACAATATACATCTGAAAAAGAAATATTTTAAATAAAATGAAGTACTGCATTTTCTAATAATACTTGGTACTTATAGGAGATCTTCAGATGGAAGGTGCTAATACACTTTATAGATATTAATAAAATAAAGCTTCCCAATACTTCTCACACCCTAAAACATGAGTAAGCATGTATTACCATTTTACAGGCAGGGAGATGAAGGCACAGAAAGCTTAAATGACTTGTTCCAGGTCACACCAAGATTCTGCGGTTGGGCCAGGAGTGAAACAGATTGCTTGATTCCTAGTCCTGTGTTTTAAGCACAAGGTCGGAATGTGCCGGAATGTGCCTTTTCTAGACAGTAATCTGCTGTGGAGTGTTTTAGAGATGCTATTTTATGATTGACAGGAAAAAATGTACTTTGTTCTTTTGTTGTTTAACATTTCAATCAAATATTTTAAAGTTATTTGAAATAATCTATATTTTTGTGATGGTCTTTTGTCAGAATAGATTTCTAGCTCAGTAGGTTCTGAAGATGGGTGTGCTGAAACTCAAGCTTCTAAATTCAATAAAGCATCTCAGTGGAAGCTAACCAACGTGAAAGAAGGTATTATTTTTCAGATGCATTGAGTTAATAGAGCAGTAAAACAGATTCCCAGAAAAGGTGAAGGAGCAGTCAGGAGAGGGAAGAGAAGTGTGTGGTGATGATATTTCAAGAGGGGAATTCTTGACAGCCTCATTGTGTATTTTTTAATTTAAGTTCTTTAAAGAAAAGAAAAGGAAGGAAAAATATCTGTTCATGTAGTGTCAAAGTCAAGAGTTTAAATTTGTGGGCTTGATTCTATCTAGGTTTTCATAGTATAGTGATGGATGTAGTATCTGAGTGCTTGATACACCTTTCTGGGTTTTGTCAACACAAGTCTTCAAAACCCAGTGGTGGTAAGTGTGTCTGGAGCAGTGTTAGGCAACTTGTACCCCATCCATTCCACTATAGCAGGAATGGTCTGATGAAGACCCCAAAGTGGTTTGGATCTGTTCAGTAATTCTACATGTCCAGGCCAGGTGGGGGAGGCACTCTTAGGCATGGAGACCAAGTTGGATATTAAAGCTGCTTTCCCCTGGCAGAACCACTAATATCCTCCCTTGTGGTGAATTCTTCCCCCACCCCCAGCACAGCTGAGCCCCGCACTTGATGGGTGGGGTGATCCTGCAAAGGTGAATCTGGTTCCAAAATGTCAGAAAATCAAAAAGTATTATAATAACACTCTTCCACATCCCACATAGATAATACTTTTCCTTACTAGGCTGTTAAATTCATGTCCAAGTATAGAATTGCTACTTGTACTTCCATAGTTAAGGTTGCAACTGTTGTTTTATATCATTGAGGCCAATAACTTTTTAGGCATTAAAAATAGATTACTCGTGTATATGGATAATGAGGCCACTCATAGCAAAAAATATATCATTGACTTGTATGGCTCTGTACCAGTTTATGCCAGCTGAGGATATGGCCCAGAGTTGTCAAGTAATTTGTAAGGGAGACAGTATGATCTAGTGCAATGGTCTCCAACCTTTTTACGCCCAGGATCACTTTTTGAATTTAAGGGCAACACAGAATTTACCCTGCCCCTTCCCCGAAGCCCCGCCCTGTTCACTCCATTTCCTCCCCCATATCGCTCGCTCTCCCCCACCCTCACTCACTGTCGCTGGGCTGGAGCAGGGGTTTGGGGTTTGGGAACAGGTGTGGGCTCTGGGCTGGGGCCGAGGGGTTCGCATTGTGGGAGGGGGCTCCGGGCTAAGCCTGGGGCAGGGGATTGGGGTGCAGGAGGAGGTGCAGGGTGCTGACTCTGGGAGGGGGTCAGGGCTGAGGCAGGGAGTTGGGGTGCAGGAGGGGGTTTGGGGTGCAGGCTCTGAGGGGGGCTCAGGGCTGGGGCAGGGGGTTGGGGTGCAGGAGTGGGTTTGGGGTGCTGGCTCTGGGAGGGGGCTCAGGGCTGGGGCTTGGGGTGCAGCCTCCCGCCGGGCGGCACTTACTGTGGGCAGCTCCTGGTCGGTGGTGCAGCAAGGCTAAGGCAGGCTCCTGGAAGGCCCTGTGGCCCTGCGCGCTGCCCCTATCTGCCAGCACCGCCCTCTCAGCTCCCAGTGGCCACAGTTCCTCGTTCTCGGCCAATGGGAGCTACGGGGGCGGTGCTTGCCTGCAGGAGCAGTGCACTGAGACCCCTGCCCCCCCCACCCATGGGGCTGCGGGGGCTGCACTGGCCGCTTCTGGCAGTGGCGTGGGCCCGGGGCAGGCACGGAGCAAGCCTGCCTTAGTGGCAATCCCACTGCACCACCAGATATCACAGTTGACTGGGAGAGTCTCTAGGATTGACCAGTCAATTGCGATTGACTGGTTGGTGAGCACTGATCTAGTGAATAGTAAGCCTTGGTTCAGGGTTCTGTTCTGGCTCTATTACATGTTTTCCATGTAACTTTGGCAGGTCACGTCAGCTCTTTTTTCCTCTCTTAGCTCTTCAAATAAGTGGACTTGTGCACATTCCTATAAACAAAGGGCAATTTTAGTGGGAAATGCCTGCAGGAGAACTATCTTACTAGATCCTTGAAATTTCTTTTCAATTTAGAAAAGAAGACCAGACCTGTTCAGAAGCTGATCACAAATATATATTTCTCTGTTGGCATCATTGACAGAGAATCCTGTTTAATTTTGAAATAATGGTAATTTCTTAAGCATATTATTGTTTCTGCCCTTAACTGCTTATTTCCAGATCACATGTCAAAATGTACCTGAGTTTCCCATCTTTTGGTATTGAAACTTTTTGTTGAGCAGGTAGAGGAATATATTAAAACTTTAGATGCTTTGCAGCATTTTAAAAATGGAGCCGTTTAAAATCGTCTTGATCTCAAAATGACTTAATTCAATCAGAAAATTCAGGACACATTTTAGTTGTCAATGAGATTTACCTCAAAAAATCTGAAAGCATGACAATTATTTTGAGTTTTAGCCTTATTATGGGGTTGTGGTTACAACCTTTGCTATGGATAAACCACTACCTCCCCAGAATAAATATTACACACTGCCAAACTAGAACTCTGGTCCTATGTGTCCAGAAACACAAACATCTACCACTACCTTTCTACCACAAAGGAAAAGTTCTGTTATCTTCTAGAAGGACCTGTATATTTCTTTCCTGGTGTAACCAACTAACAAAAAGCAACATGTGATAGTGAATGGTCCTATTCCTACTGAAGCTGCTGCCAAATAATTCCTATTGTCTGGTGATTATTTTATTAAATGCTTGAAGCTCACATCCTATTTTATATCTAATCTACAGCAAATTCTACCAATCTAGAAAATACTGAAGAGAAAGTTATAGATCCTCGGATTCAAGTAGCGATAAAGAAGATGAATAAATTGGACAATATACTGGCAAAGAAACAATCTAGAGAAAGAGAAATTAAAAAACAAGGCAGAGAAGTGAGGGCTAAACTTTGGGAAGAACTTCAGGTTAGCAAAGTGTGATTTTTTTTTAAATATTTACCAATAAAACAGTATCTCAGAATGCTATCTTATGGAAGGGAGAAGTCTAGTTCAGCAGTTCTCAAACTGTGGGTCGCGCCCCATTTCAAATGGGATTGCCAGGGCTGGCTTAGACTAGCTGGGGCCCAGGGCCGAAGCCAAAGTCTGATGGCTTCAGCCCTGGGAGATGGTTGCAACTTTCAGAGTGGTAGCCATGTTAGTCTATCAGCAAAAACAACAAGGAGTCCTTGTGGCATCTTAGAGACTAACAAATTTATTTCGACATAAGCTTTTGTGGGCTAGAACCCACTTCATTAGATGCATGGAGTGGAAAATACAGAAGCAGGTATAAATACATGAAAAGATGTGAGTTGCCTTACCAAGTTTGAGGTCAGTCTAACGAGACTATTCAGTTGACAGCAGGATACCCAGGGAGGAAAAATAACTTTTGAAGTGGTAATGAGAGTGGCCCATTTCAGACAGTTGACAAGAAGGTGTGAGTAACAGTAGGGGGAAATTAGTATTGGCGAAATTAGGTTTAGGTTTTGTAATGACCCAACCACTTCCAATCAAATGGTGTCCAGTTTGCAAATTAATTCCAGTTCTGCAATTTCATGTTGGAGTCTGTTTTTGAAGGGTTTTTTTTTTTTTTTTGAAGAATTGCCACTTTTTGGTCTGTTATTGAGTGACTAGGGAGACTGAAGTGTTTTCCTATTGGTTTTTGAATGTTATGATTCCTGATGTCAGATTTGTGTCCATTTATTCTTTTACATAGAGACTATCCCGTTTGGCCAATGTACATGGCAGAGGGGCATTGCTGGCACATGATGGCATGTATCACATTGATAGTGGCATATATCACATTGGTAGATGTGCAGGTGAACGAGCCCCTGGTGGTGTGGCTGATGTGGTTAGATCCTATGATGGTGTCCCATGAATAGGTATGTGGACAGAGTTCGCACAGGGGTTTGTTGCAGGGTTGGTTCCTGGGTTGGTGTGTTTGTTGTGTGGTGTGTACTTGCTGGTGAGTATTTGCTTCAGGTTGGGGGCTGTCTGTAAGCGAGAACTGGCCTGCCTCCAAGGTCTGTGAGACAGATGGATCATCCTTCAGGATAGGTTGTAGATCTTTGATGATGCGCTGGAGAGATTTTAGTTGGGGGCTGTAGGTGATGGCTAGTGGCGTCCTGTTACTTTCTTTGTTGGGCCTGTCCTATAGTAGGTGACTTCTGGGTACCCTTCTGGCTCTGTCAATCTGTTTCTTCACTTCCCCAGGTGGGTACTGTAGTTTTAAGAATGCTTGATAGAGAGCCTGTAGGTGTTTGCCTCTGTCTGAGGGATCGGAACAAATGCAGTTGTATCTTAGAGCTTGGCTGTAGACAATGGATCGTGTGATGCGGTCAGGGTGAAAGCTGGAGGCATGTAGGTAGGAATGGCGGTCAGTAGGTTTCCGGTATAAGGTGGTGTTTATGTGACCATCACTTATTAGCACTGCAATGTCTAGGAAGTGGACCTCTTGTGTGGACTGGTCCACGCTGAGGTTGATGGTGGGGTGGAAATTGTTGAAATCTTGATGGAATTCCTCAAGGGCCTCCTTCCCATGGGTCCAGATGATGAAGATGTCATCAGTATAGCACAAGTAGAGTAGGGGGGTAAGGGGACGAGAGCTGAGGAAGCATTGTTCTAAGTCAGCCATAAAAATGTTGGCATACTGTGGGGCCATGCGGGTACCCATAACAGTCCCGCTGACTTGAAGGTATAAATTGTCTCCAAATCTGAAATAGTTGTGAGTGAGGACAAAGTCACAAAGTTGAGCCACCAGGTTTGCCGTGATGGTATCGGGGATGCTATTCCTGATGGCTTGTAATCCATCTTTGTGTGGAATGCTTGTGTAGAGAGCTTCTACATCCATAGTGGCTAGGATGGTGTTTTCTGGAAGATCACCAAAGGATTGTAGTTCCTCAGGAAGTCAGTCGCATCTCTAAGATAGCGGAGAGTGCTGGTAGTGTAGGGCCTGAGGAGAGAGTCTACATAGCCAGATAATCCTGCTGTCAGGGTGCCAATGCCTGAGATGATGGGGCATCCAGGATTCCCAGGTTTATAGATTTTGGGTAGCAGATAGAATACCCCTGGTCGGGGTTCTAGGGGTGTGTCTGTGTCGATTTGTTCCTGTTTAGGGAGTTTCTTGAGCAGATGGTACAGTTTCCTTTGGTACCCCTCAGTGGGATAAGAATTTATTTTCGGAAACACGAAAACATGATCTTGAAAGGAAATATATGAAATTAACGTTCTTTTTAGTTTCATCATGGGAGTGGCGAAACTGACAAGAATGTCAAGTTTTCTCAGCTGGTGCCTGGGCTCTTCAGCACAGATCAGGTGTGTCTAGCAGAGTGTCCTCCCAACCCCCAGATAACTGATTCTCAGTGTTTTTGCGCAGCTGGTCCCTATCTCACCATTCTTTGTGTTCCAATCTGTTTCTTGGTGTGCAGCATGCTCACTTGCTCTGTGGTGATGGCACCATGTGCAGTCCAATCACATGTAGGAGCTGTGAGGGAATAAGTGCACACAGAACCTTTGGAGATTTTAGCTGCTTAACCCTAAGAAGTCTTTGCTGAGCATGTGTGGACTGAAATTTTTCAAAGACTTTTAACTTGGCCCAACAATAAAAGGTACATTCCTGACAAAAAGGCCACCCCTTTCAAGTCTCTGCTCCAATGTGTGGGAATACTAGAGCTTCTCACCAAAAATGTCACCACAATTTTGTTAACATTACAGAACATATTTTTCCCGAACCTCAGTCTCAGAAATGGCTGAACTGTTTTTGCTGAAACTTTCAAAAAAATCTGCTTGAAGTCTGGGAAATTTCAGACCAAACAGTTATATTTAGGCAAGGTTATGGGTAGGTGAAAATAGGGTCTTTTATTGGGAAGTGTCTTGCAATGTTAATAATAGGCAGTGCTACCAGCCCCACATATAATATGTATAAATTTGGTTTGAAATGGTAAAGCAGTATATGCAATGTAAATCATACTGCAAGTCTACCAGAATTCAAATTTATGTATCTATAAAACTATATAGTTCCTATAATCCATGGATAGATGATGTACAATAATTATAAGCATATACAGAGCTTAAAAATCTATGCTATTTTCATAAATGCTCAGAGAGTCTAAGACATTCAGATCACCCAAAAAAGTAAGAAAAAAAAAGTAAGAAAATAATGTTCACCCAAAAGCTTGATTGACAAAAAAGGCTTCTGGTGTGTGATCTGAAGTTTGCTAGACTTGGGCCTCTGATAGATCATCAGGAAAAGTATTTTACTGTAATTCCAGTCTGATCATATATTTGCTGCTATCTTATATTTTCATACTTTCCCTCTTTTAAATAGTCTGTAACCTCACTAAGTGCTTCAGGAACTCAAGAGGAGATAGAAAATACAAACAAATTTTTAGCTTTGACCTCCTCATTGCAGATAGTTGGTAAGTAAGTAAAACAGGTAAATTATAAATATCTCATAAGATTATCTTATATGTTGATTATAGCTGTATTTCTGTAAGTTCTAAGATATCACTACTATTAAAATAGATTAAAATGTTTTCCATTACAAGTGCAGTTTTAAAGTTTTATCAATAAAATAGTCCTTACACGTAAAAATTTGTAAAGACAATTTTTCTAAACCTCAAGCTGAGTAAAAAGTATTTTTGCTGCTGCACATGCCTTCACAAGGTAGTATTGCTTTGCAGATTTTTGTTTGCAATAATTCTGCAGTATTTCAAATGACTGGGCAGCCTTGAAGGTTTAACTAAGTAGAAGCAAGGTAGGAGAAATGTGAATAACTTATGTCTGTGATAGAAAAAAAATTTCTAAGCTGCTTTATAGACTGAGTTGGCAAACCCGATTTTATTGTAACCAGTACAGAACCCTGTATGTATCTTCAGAATCTAACTATTGGCAATTTTATCTTCATTTTTTATCCCTCACATTTACATTTTGACTTTTGATCCCTAACCATTCAGCCTTGTCTGGAAATTCATCAGCAAAGCTAAACATTTTTAAAAGGCCCTATCCAGCAGAGCAGATATATGGTCTCCTGCAGTGTGAGGCTGTGGCCATAACTATCCTATTGAAAAGGAAGGTTGGCTGAGCAAATGCTCTGAATACTGCTGCTTCTGCTTCTCAGACGGAATGACTTTAAAGTATTGTAGAAAGAAATCTGGAAAATAAGTGTGCTGCTTTACTGAAACCAAACATATTTAAACTACATCCTATAACACTCTTTACCTGGCCTACTCCTCAACATTTCAAACGGAACTGGAATTCCAGTGCGCTGAGATGCTATAAGTACAGCACGCTAAGTAAATCTCTGGTTACAACAATAATCAGTTTCAGAGTTTCAAAAATATACCTTAATGTATTTTAACATTCTGGTTATTAAATCCAGGGTCAGACAGCTTTTTGAAGTCACACACAGCATTCTGTGGGGTAGCTGGCTATGCAGCATTGTTACAAAGAATAATTTAACAATAACTCTTTTGCATTTAAAATGCAGCAAATACACCAGCTTTGCTCTTACCATCTTTGATTTTGACTGTGCTTTGAACTGAATTACCTTGGCATTGCTTATACTGCTCTCACATTTATTAATTGTTTTGTCCAGTTCTTAAACACAGACTTTTTCTTTTTCGTTGGGGAAAGATTTCTTGGAGTACAAATTTTTGACCTCTGTAATCTAAAAAATATTTCAATCTCTTAAATAAAAGAATTACCAAAAGTTGTCTTTTGGTAGCCTGTTGCACTATAGAATTTTGATTCTCACCACCTTGTGCTCTCCAAACTTAAAAATATTACATTATTGGCTGTTACAAAATTTAATGAGAGAATCTTTACTTGGAATCATCTTGGATTATAATTGCTTTTTTTCCTATCAGAATGGTTTTTTGTATTGTTGTCTGACCATTAACGTTAGACCTGTTGTGACTTTGTGTAGTTTTATAACTGAATTATACCATTCTGTGCTGGACTTTTTGAAAATGGTAAAGAAGTATATACAGGAAAAGAGTAGCAGCCGTGTTAGTCTGTATCCGTAAAAAGAAAAGGAGTACTTGTGGCACCTTAGAGAGTAACAAATTTATTTGAGCATAAGCTTTCGTGAGCTACAGCTCACTTCATCGGATGCATGAAGTGAGCTGTAGCTCACGAAAGCTTATGCTCAAATAAATTTGTTAGGCTCTAAGGTGCCACAAGTACTCCTTTTCTTTATACTGGAAAAGAGGATTTTTACATCAATAACTGCATAACATTTATTTAGTTTACTATTCAGGGGGCAAAAAACACAAGATTTACATATCAGCTTTACAGCAATTTAAAACTGTCCAGTAGGTGTCAGCATCTAATAAAAAGAATATGCTTTACTAGGTCTCTTAAACTTTAAGATATGGAGAGAAAATTTGTTTATGAGGTGGTTATTAACAAAGTCCACACAGCACTTCCTTTTTCTTTTCAAAGGTAACTACGGGTGTATGGGTCATATATTTGCTCCTGGGTCTGGCCAGGAGCTAGAATGAGGGAGGGGGCTCAGGGTTGGGGCAAGAGGTTTGGGTGTGGAGTGCTTACCTGGGCAGCTCCCATTTGGTGCTAGGAGTGCAGGTGGGAATGTGGGAGGGTGCAGGAGCCCCTCTTTGGTGCTCAGGGTGGGAGTGGGAATGTGGGGGGTGCAAGAGTCAGGACATGGGGTGTGAGGGGTCTGGGTATGTGTGGGGGGTGCAGGAGTCAGGGCATGGAGTCGTGGAGGGTGCAGGGGTCAGGGCAGGAGGCTGGGGTGTGTGCAGGGTGCAGGGGTCAGGGCAGAGGGCTGGCTGTGTGTGAGGGGGGTGCAGGGGTCAGGGCAGAGGGCTGGGTGTGTGTGTGGGGGGTGCAGGGATCAGGGCAGGGGACTGGGATGTGTGTGGGGGGATGTAAGGTGCAGGGCTCAGGGCAGAGGGCTGGGGTGTGTGGGGGGTGCAGGGCTCAGGGCAGAGGGCTGGGTGCGTGTGAGGGGGGTGCAGGGCTCAGGGCAGAGGGCTTGGGTATGGGGAGATGTAAGGGTCAGGGCAGAGGGCTGGGGGTGTGGGCTGGGGTCATGGGGGTGCTCCCAGCCCCCTGCTCAGAGTAGCAAATGGCCGGGGGCTGGAGGGGATATGCCCTGATTCCACCCCCCTTCCCCAAGGCCCTGTCCCCACCTCTTCTCCGCCTTCTCCCTGGAGCAGCGAGCACACTGTGGCTACGCTTCTCCCCCACCCGCGCAAGGGCCATCAGCTGATCGGCGTCAGGGAGGGAGAGGAGGAGGGGCAGGAACGCAGCACGCTGGGGGAAGAGGCGGGGGAGCGGGGAGCTTGCCTGCCCTGCAGCAGCAGCCGGCAGGACCAAGCTTCTTCCTCCTGCCTGGGGGGGGCGCAGAGAAGAGCGGGCTGTGGCGGGCAGGATTTTTAATGGCAGGCTGCTGTCTGCCGGGGTCCTGGCCTGGGTTTGGCAGCGGGCTGAGAGGGGCTGGCGGCTGGGACCTGGCAGGCAGCAGCGTGCCATTAAAAATCGGCTCGTGTGCCGTCTTTGGCACGTGTGCCATAGGTTGCTGACCCCTGGTTTAGATTTTTCCAGGGTCCTCCTTGCCTCAAGGTTTTATGTAGCATGTTAACACTTTTCATTCATCAAATCATTTTGTATGATTGGCAGCTGAGGAACTTTCCCTGGTTGAAAATAAAGAACTGAATGTAATTAACTTTGTCTTCTAGCGCTTGAATATTTAGCTTTTATTTTATTTGACGACAACAAATGATGCAAGGGAGGTTGTTTTGAAAATAGTCTGTTTTGAAAAGAGTCATTAGAGTTTCAAATGCCAGCTACATCCACAAAATCACTTCTATCCAGCCACTTGTGTCTCAACATCTCTAGCAGCAGAAACACATCTGCCCTAATTGTGGCAGAAATTAGACTCTGCAGCTATAAAACGCGCATTCAGTTGTTACTAAATGACAATCATCATCATGCTTTCAGTTGAGAAGGCTAGTATTAATTATTACAGGCTGTTTGTTGTTTAGTTGATATTAGTTAATCTCTCATGTATGTGGATCCTTAGAGTATGTGCTTTTTAAGTGTGCACAGATTGCAGAGCAGACAGTGTGGGGCTTCTCCTTAACCTGCACTCCCTGGCTAATTCTTGTCAGGAGCATGACTAACACTTGGAGTACTTGAAGCAGCTCTTGAGCACTGGGATGTTTGGCACCCATTTCTCCCAGATCACACTCCTGACAGAGGCCAGTTGGATTTCTGACAATTTGGGCACATCTAGACACCCCCTGGGCACTTAACTTTCAGTTGAACCTCTAGATGATTCCCCAAATGGCTATTCATGTCTGTTGAAGCTTTTGAACATTTTGGCCTTTGGCTGTATCACTTACATACAATTACCAGTCCTATAGAAGCCTGTAAATGCAGCAGAAGAAAAAAATATGTAATCCCATTTACTCAAAACCTCTATCAGACTTCATAGATACATCAGAAGTGGTATAATACATTTTGATACTTTCTTCCAATCTTACTTGCCTTTGTTCATAATGATTCTTTTACTCGCATATTGACTCCCTTACTCACCTCTCTTCTTTTGCTCCATCTGTTCTATCCCTTGTAAAATGTTTTATTGTATTGTGGTAACTACTTGAAGAAAATCAATAATAAACTTCTATGACTCTTGCATATCGTACTTGGAGAAATGTACATTAATCATACTGTTAAGTCACAAAAATCTGCTTTAAATAAGTATTTAACAGTTATTCAATACACTTCTAATTAACAGATCCTTCCCATTCTGAAGAAGATGAAATATTTATTTCAGTATTTCACACACAAATTAATTCAGAAGATTACGACTGCAATGAAAAACAAGCTGTACAGGGTAAGCCCTTATTACAGTCCTATAATTATGTAATGAGCTTTTGTATTCTGGATTTGAATGAGTAAAATGTTCCAGAAAATCAAGGCTGAAAGAGAAGCGTTGTGTGCCATACAGAGGTTGGAAAACATAACATTCCCATAATGTATGTAATATAAATAGGTAATACAAGTTTACACCCCTGATGGAAAAATTTAGGAGTTTATCAACAATGTGGTTCTTTTTGGAAATTGTATAAAATTTATCTCTGCTATTAATCTAATACTGATAATCATAGGGTCATAGAAATTTGTAGCTGAAAGGGTCTTCTAAAAGTATCAAGTCCAGGCCCTGCATTGAGGCACCACCAGTTAAAACCTAGACCATTTGTGACAGGTGTTTGTCTAACCTGTTCTTAAAACTCGATGATGGTGATTCCACAGCCTCCATGGAAGCCTATTCCAGAGTTTTAATATCTAACATAAATCTTCCTTGCTGTAGATTAAGACTTTCACTACTTGTCCTAATTCCAGTGGACATAGAGAACAATTGATCACCATCCTCTTTGTAACAGCCCTGAACATGTCTGAAGACTTTTAGCAGTTCCCCTTATAGTCTTCTTTTCTCATGACTAAATATGCCCCCCCCCTTTTATTTTTTTGGAACATTTCTTCCTAGGTCAGGCTTTCTAAACCTTTCCTCATTTTTGTTCTTCTCCTCTGGCCTCTCTCCAGTTTGTCCACATCTTTCCTGAAGTGTGGTGCCCAAAATACTCCAGCTCTGGCCTCACCAGTGCTGAGTAGAGTAGGGCAATTACCTCCTGTGTCTTACGTATGACACTTCTGTTAAAACACCCCAGAATATTAGCCTTCTTTGCAATTGCATCATGGTGTTGATTGATATTCAATTTGTGATGCACTGTAACCTCCAGATCCTTTTCAGCAGTACTACCACCTCATCAGCTATTCCCCATTTTGTAACTGTGCATTTGATTTTTTCTTCCTAAGGGAAGTACTTTGCACTTGTCTTTATTGAATGTCATCTTGTTGAATTCAAACCAATTCTCCAGTTTTTCAAGGTTGTTTTGAGTTCTAATCCTGTCCTCCAAAGGGATTGAAACCCCTCTCAGCTTGGTGTCATCAGCAAATTTTATAAGCATACTTTCCACTCCTATGTGGAATCCATCTATATACTGTCTGCCACCTAGTTTGACCAAACCATTGATAAGTACACTTTTGAGTATGGTCTTTCAACTAGTTGTTCTCTGGCCTTATAGGAATTTCATCTAGACCATATTTCTCTAGTTTGCTTATGAGAATGTCACGTGGGACTGTGTCTAAAGCCTTACTGAAATAAAGATATATCACCTCAACTGCTTCCCCCCCATATTCACTGGGCCAGTAACTCTGTCAAAGAAGGAAATTAGGTTGGTTTGGCATGATTTGTTCTTGACCAATCCATGGTGGCTATTCCTTATAATCCTGTTATCCTCTGGGTGCTTACAAATTGATTGTTTAATAATTTGTTCCAGTATCTTTCCAGTTATCAAAGTTAGGCTGACTGGTCTGTAATTCCCCAGGTCCTCTTTGTTTCCCTTTTGAAAGATAGGTATTATGTTTGTCCCTCTCCAGTCCTCTGGCACCTCACCTGTCCTCCATGAGTTCTCAAAGATAATTGCTAATGCTTCCGAGAATGCTTCAGCTAGTTCTTTAAGTACCCTAAGGTGAATTTCATCAGGCCCTGACAGCTTGAATACATCTAACTTATCTAAATATTCTTTGACCAGTTCTTTCTCTGTTTCCGCTTGTGTTCCTTTCCCCTAGTTGTTAATATTAATTGTGTTGAGTATCTGGTCACCATTAACCTTTTTAATGGAGACTGAAGCAAAATAGGTGTTAAACACTTAAGCCTTCTTGATATCATCAGTTGTTAGCTCTCCTTCCTTGCTAAGTAGAGGACCTACACTTTCCTGTGTCTTTATCTTGCTCCTAATGTATATAAAGAACCTGTTCTTATTGCACGTTATGCCTCTTGCTAGATGTAAGTCATTTTAGCTTAACCTTTTTGATTTTGTCCCTACATGCTTGTGCTGTTCTTTTGTATTCATCCTTAAATTTGTCCATGTTTCCACTTTTTGTAGGATTCCTTGTTAATTTTCAGGTAATTAAAGTGCTCCTGACTGAATCATACGCTCACTGTGAGGCACCATCTTCCCTTAGGTGTGCAATTATTAGGCCTATGCTGAAGAAACCTTCTCTCAAATCTGACGGTTGATGCAAAGTGCAGTATTACACAGTCTCTCATATTCCTATTTTGGGTCAAGGTTCTCTGGCCCTGTTTAATGTCTTCAGACTTCTTTAATCTTCTTCAGTTTAGTGGGTTTTTTTCCTATTAAACTGATTATGGTACAGACTGCACTTGTCTTGATGTTTGAAGATCTCCTGACAAAGATCAGACATCCTTGCTAGTTCTTTTAGATTTGTGTGTTGTTTTGATGCTATTGCTTATGAGATACTGTTGTGGCAGGCATCTGTCCAGATAGAATGAGTTGTGTTTCGGTGTCTGTATTCTTCCATCTCTGTGAGATTCCACTGCGTGGCATTGGGCAGTTGCTCATTTACTCAAAAGGTTATTTTCAGCATGTATACATGACCATTAGGAGAGTAGTGAAATGTTTTAAATTGCTGTTGCCACCAGTACGCCGATGACACTCAGCTCTGGAAGCATATTATGTGATTCAAAGTAATCTGGTTTCTTGGTAACTGGCTAAGATGGGGGGGTTGGATGAGAGGGACTTGGCTAGAGATCATTCACAACAGGAGAGATGAGGGGTGTGTGTGTGTGTGTGTATGGGTGCACTTAGGAGGAGGTGATATTTGCTGTTTCTACTTAGGCTTCTTGTTATTGTGGTTTGGTTTGTAATCTTGAGGTCTGTAGCATTCTTGGCTGCTGCCTGGGTTGCCAGGTAGGAGCCAAGATAGGCCCTGAGCGGGTAAAGCAGAGAAGGCTGTGCTTGACTATAAATACTTAAGTAGTCCCATTAATGGGACTATTTATGTGCTTAATTTTACATTTAATCCAGTTACATGCTCCGCTGAATTGGGGCCATAGTCTCTTTCCTCTGGTCCAGACATCAGGTTACAATCTTTCCTCTTTGATGCGTTCCTTGCCACAATTATCCATGTCTCTGTCATTCTGCATTAGATGTTCTATGTGGGTCTACCTTGGAAGGCCATTCAGACTTCAGCTAGCACAGAATGCGGTGTTAAGCAGTGTTTCTTATATGACACTTATTACACCTGTGCTTGTAGACTGCAATGGCTTCAGGATGCAATGCAAAGTGTTCATTTTTATCCATAAAACCCTGCATGCTCTGGTTCCTGGTTAGCTTCAAGGTAGTGTTTCTCCTATGCTCTGTGATAGCAACTAAGAAAGTTTGGGATGCTTTTTCCTAATAGGCCCTAGATTTGAACCCTGGAGGGTTGGAGGCAATTTTTCTTCAAGGGTGGGGCCCTCCACTTGGGAATTCATCTCCTTCATTGGTATTTGCACAGCCAGAGTTTGTATGACCTTAAAGAACGTTGCACAGCTTCTGTATATACTAAGACTTCTGTGCAGAGGAATGGGTAGAACTTCTTATATGATCCAGTGAGCTTTCTTTTAGTTGCCTTTTTTGGTCAGATTGCATATTCTTTAATTTGTGATACTTTTAAATGTAATGTATGTGCTCCTAGAGGCAGTGATAGTTAATCTTTTTATAAATCCAATGATAAGGAAGCACATTCTAGTTTTATAACTAAGTAATCCCCAAACCTGTGTCTAACCCCAGGATGAAAGGGGAAAAAAAGAGAGAACTATTATGTATGGAGGAGAACACATCAATTTGTGAGATTTATAGGACATTAAATATGATTGTTTAGTTTTGTCATTTATAAATCTTTGGAATCTGGATCATTCCAAAGTCATGAAAGAATTGCCACTTTAAAAGTATTAGAAATCTCTGAATAGCACATACCATATATTGTCTGTTCATATGGTTTTTGGAGAAACTGTGTTCAGAAAACATTAAATCTGAAAATAGCTTGAGGGTGAATTAAATGTTCAGTGTGCTACTTCCTGAACAATCTGATCTGCTTATTAGAACATATCTTTAAATGTAATGATCACACATAATATATTTAAGGCTGTTACTAAGAAACCATGTTTGTTTCATAACTTGCACAGATTTAAGGTGAGTTTTTAAACAAAAATTGTTACAACAAGGGACTGTAGAACATCAAAGACCTCATCTGTTTTTCAGCTGTTTCATTTAAGAAATCTGCTTGAAATATCCCCAAACAGTTGCATGCTTTCCCCAAAAATCACCACTTAATTTATCTAGTACTGGTGATATAGTTCAAACAATAAGAGGTTTAAAAAGAATGGGTTTAAAATCATGGCAATGTGTCTAACATTTTTGAGGTCAGATCTCCATAAAAAATATTTTGGCCTTCACAAAACTATAATCTTATGTAAGAAATAACTTTGCTAAATGGGCACCCTGAAAAACTTCGATTTACCACATTTAGCTGTTGAAATGGTTATGATAATAGTTTCTAATGGTAAATATAGGTAATACTTCCAATACTATAAATATAATAAATCATAGTGAAAATAGTAGTTATTGATTTTTGTCTATTGGAGAGGCAACAATCACATTTTTGCAACTGTTTTTTCTTAACTACAGACCATCTAAATGAAATCAAAACAAGCGGCTCACTGAAAATAACAGGAAAAACAGACCAAAAAAGTGACACCAGAAGTAAAAATACTCAAGATTTTATTAAAAAGAACATTGAGGTATGTGTTAGGGCCTAAAATCACTAAAAGTTTAGGGAGTTACTGATGTATACTAAATGCATTGCCAAAAAAAATACGTTGGTTTCTTGATCAAGACACATGCCATTATTAACTCTGTAAAAGTTAATCAGGATTAAATGAACAACATTATACTACAAAAATTTGTTGTTCACTGCAAAGTGCGGCTGAGTATTCATCCTTCACTGGTTGCCCAAATTTGCAAATTAGGTCCCCATTTGCTTTTAGATGGTCATATAAGAATGAGAAACTTTATATTTTCCAATCTGTGCCTGGCCACAGCCTATACATTTTGTAGACAAGTACTTCTTTATAACCTTTTTCTAAAAAAAGAAAAAACGATGTTTGGTGTTCTTAAGATAATGGGTGGACACTGAGTGATTTGAAATTCTCTATCTACAGAACTGTGATAGCAAAGGCCATGGCACAGCAACGTGTCCTATACCATTCAGGGAGTATTCTCAACCCTGATGGAGAGAAACAACTTACTGCTATCAGAGGGCAGTTTACTTTCCATGCATCATTTAGTTCTTGACCCATCTGCTAACATTCTCTGCAACAAGGTTGCCAGGTGTGGTAGAGGTTTTTGGACATGTGCACACTTCTGTGCCATGAACAGGAATAAGAATACTAATTTACTTCCTACAGGCCACCAGATTTGTGAGTGGTTTTGATCAGCTTGGTTTTGGTTTTAACTAGTAGCACAGAAATGAAAACCTGTTTTCCATTGTCAGTATTGCGAGCAAACCCAGTTTTATAGTTTTATTTTTAATGCTTTCTATCCATAAATACTTCAGCTGGCAAAGGATTCAGGGAGCCAACTGGTTATGCTAACGGAAGAGAAGAAAAGATTGGTTGAACTGTTGAAAGATATAGAAGACAATGGCAGTGAACTTCAAGGCATTGAGGTATGATGATTTTAATTTGCACTGACTCATGACTGGACTTTCATGGATGTTTATGATATTGCAAAGAAGGGAAACAGTGAGTATACCTCAAAGTTTGCAGATGATACAAAATTACTCAAGTTAGTTAAGTCCAAAGCAGACTGCAAAGAGTTATGAAAGGATTTCACAAAACTGGGTGACAGGGCAACAAATGGCAGATGAAATTCAGTGTTGATAAGTGGAACGCACATTGGAATACAGAATTCAACCTATACATACAAAGTGATGGGGTCTGTATTAGAAGTTACAACTCAAGAAGGAGATCTTGGGGTCATTGTGGATAGTTCTCTGAAAACATCTGCTCAACAATGTGCAGTGCAGTCAAAAAACCTAACCATGTTAGGAACCATTAGGAACGAGATAGATAAGAAGACAGAAAATATCATAATGCCACTATATAAATCTGTGGTATGCCTACCCCTTAAATACTGCATCTAGTTTTGGTTGCCTAATCTCAAAAAAAGATGTATTAGAATTGGAAAAAGTACAGAGAAGGGCGACAAAAATTATGGGTATGGAACGGCTTTCATGCAAGAAGAGGTTAAAAAGACTGGGGCTGTTCAGCTTAGAAAAGAGACAACTAATGGGGGGTAGGATAGAGCTCTATAAAATCATGAATGATGTGGAGAAAGTGAATAGGGATGTGTTATTTACCTCTTCACAAAAACCAGGGGTTACCCAATGAAATTAAAAAGCATCAGGTAAGTACTACTTTACACAACACAATCACCCTGTGGAAATTGTTGACAGGTGATGGTGTGAAGGCCAAAAGTATAACTGAGCTCAAAAAAGAATTAGGTAAGTTCACAGAGGCTAGGTCCATAAATGGCTATTTAGCCAAGATAGCCATGGATGCAACCCCATGCTCTGGGTGTCCCTAAACCTCTGATTGCCAGAAGCTGAGACTGGATCACTCGATAAAGGGCCTTGTTCTGTTCGTTCTTTCTGAAGCATCTGGCACTGGCCAGTGTTGGAAGATGGGACATTGGGCTAAATAGCCCATTGGTCTAACCCAATTATCAAACTATAAATCTCTAGCTTTGTCTTTCTTTTCAGGTTTTACTGCAGATTTAAGGTAGTGGGTTTAAGGGAAAAAGTGTGATTTACACTATTTACTCTTTGTTGAACTTCTGTAATTTTTTGAAATGTAAAATTTCAAAGTTGACATATGATTGGGAAATAAGTGAACAGTGTTTTTCATCTCTTAATAGTATCAGATTTTAGTATTTTAAAAAAATTTAGCTGAGTACTGTAAATTATTGTGCCATCTTTTTTTCCGGTAACACGTTACCATCAATTTCCCTAAAGTTGAATATGACTTATTCGTTCAGTATGACATTAGATGCATATCATGTTATGTTCATTGCTCAACAAGTATTATGAGTAAGGAAGACGACAATGTTATATCCATTTGTGATGGGATCACCATGGAAGTTATAAGCATATACTGTTCTAGCACCGTCAATTGAATGGGAGTGAGGTTGAGATTAAGCAATATCCAGTGGTATAACTGTGTTGAAGTTTATAAGCCAGGAACTTTGTAACAGTATTTTACTGTACCATCGAAACATTATAATGCCATATATTTCTAATAGAGAGTGCAATGTTGTTGTGACATACCAGGCCATAATCCAGACTAGTGGGGGGGATTTGTCACCCCTGTCCTGCAACTTTGTGTGCCCTACAATGCCTTACTGTAGTAGCTTCTATCTGGGCCGCTCACAAACAACCTTCTGGCATGCAAGCCACGGCCTGAGTGTCTATGTGTAAATGCAGCTGGCCATCTACACCCTGGCTCTCACCAGCCTTGGTTGTACTGCGTGGTGACCTCAACCCAGCCCCAGTCAGGGATCTTCTCCCAGAAATATATATCGTGTACTGGCCAGCCATCTCCTGGACAGTGCAAACATATTAAGTCCATTATTCTTTTAAGAGAATAATAAGCCAGCTTATTGTTTTGAATAGACTACCCAGACACTCCAATTTAAACACACTTGGTTAGATAAAATCGTAAAATATTTTAAGTGATTGTGAGTAATGAGGAATAAAAGCCAGAAATGGTAACAAGAAAAATAAAGATAAAACACTTAATAATATCTACTTAACAGACTATCTTAGTTGCAAAGCAGACTTTCTCACCACATGCTCCAGCAGATTACTGACCAACTCTCAGGTCAGGACCCCATCCCCAAAGTCCAACAGCTGTTTCCTTCTCTCTTCTCAGGTGTAGAGAATGAAATGGGCAGGGAGAGAGAGAGAGAGTGGTGCCTTGGGCTGTTTGTCCCTCCTTTTTATAGTTTTTCCCCCTCTTGAAAAACATTTCCAGCTGAGAACCAGGAGATAAAGAGTTTATCTGAAAGGATATTCCCCACTGGTTTTCTCATCTATTTGAATTTCCTTTGTTTTTCCTTCCTGCTTGATGACTCTGTTTACTGCTTAAATGCAAATTAAGGCAAGCACACATTCCTTCCTTTGTCTGTGACAGACCTGACTTCTGCCTGGGCAGGGCTGTGGGGTTTGGAATGTGTGTTAACAACATCATACAGGGGAAGCTTATAACTTCACATACAATATTGTACACACATTTTATCAGGATAGTACTGACCAGCAAATGATGAGTTTTCAAATGGTACCCTATTAGGCATACTGTGTACAAAGATTATTACAATAATATGTACGGTGTGAATACAGAGGTGTATTCCGTCAGTTGAAAATTATTTTAGAAGGGAAATTTACCTTTCAAACAAAGCATTCTTTGTGATTAAAGACCTTATATTGCAGGCAATCAACAAAGTCTTCTTGGAAGTGTGTTTCCAGAAAACTTTGTAAGTTGGTTGCTTACCAGGCTTGCTGATTTTAGGGAACAGACTGGGCTAGTTTGGTAGGGCAAAAAAGACGAACAAAACTCACTGACTTACTTTGTGCTCAGGTGGAGATTGGGATTGGAAGTGAACGTAGGTTCTTTGGGTAGCCTCTGCACATTCCCATTATTTGTAAGTGTGCCAGGTTGCTGCAGAGCATCAGAACCTTTTGAAACCAATGCCCTTCAGAGTATCCACTTTTTCTTAATCCCTGAAGAAGGGCTCAGAGCTTTGCCCTGCAAGGAATGAGAAGACAAGGCCTGGCCTCTCAGTTTCTTTTCTGGCCCTTGGGAAAGGAACTTGCATCACACAGCATTTACATGGGTAATCTCTCTCTGAGCTCTGAAGCAGACTCGGCAGATGGTGTGCATATTGGAAGCAAGTAAAATCTCTGGAGAGGAAGCTATGTCACGCCTGAGTGGGAGCTGCACAATAGGGCTGAGGAGCCAAAAACTTCCAAAAATGCTTAAAAATCTTGTAAACACCAACAGCTGTGCTGATTATTGTAATTAATCAACTGTGTAATACGATTAATACTAAAAGTACAAACAATAGGGGAGGCTTAATGAAAACCCAGGCGCAAGTTTTGAGGTCTGCCTGCTACTGTGGTTCAGAGGAACTGAGGTAGCTGAAGATGCTTTTGCTCTATCCTTAATTTGGTGAGTTTTAGAAGAACAAAATTTGAAAGTATAGCTCACCAGATTATGAGTCAATCTGCCCTTCCCTCAGTGTATTAACTATTCCTGCAGAAAATGGTTCCGAGCATACTACCAGATCATGTTGCCAAATCTGCTTGAAACAGATTTGGCAGCATGAAAATGACATTTTAGGTAATAGGATACCTAAATATTTTAAGATTCTAATAGAAACAGAAAGAAAAAACCCCAAACCTCTTCTGCCCTCTTTTTTTAAATACGTTCCACATTCCAGCACATGCTTTTCACATTAACAAAAGAAAAACCTGAGAGAGACTCATTCAGAAATGCCTTCACTTGAAAGTCTTTTAAACAGTTTTTTTGGTGGGCAACATCAAAGATAGTAATACATTTTCCTAACATGAAGAATGGCATTCTCTACTACATGCAGATTTATGTCTTCTCTCCAGATGTGTAGTCCCTCAGATTTTTAAAACAGGAAACAACTTCAAAAATAGTTAATAAAGGTTTTCTGTGTATCAGGAGTCCCCTGTTTAGGATGACTAATGAAGATTCAGCCTAACAATGCTTTAGCTGTTTCTTATACCAACTCTGATGGCAGCATGGCCATAGAAATGCAACAGTCTACCTAGGTTCTCATATTGGGACCAGTCACCACGTTATTTGGATACCTATCAGAGACTTTCTGTTGTTTGTGACAGACTTTCAGCAGCTCACATTAGGAGATGCTTGTGTATTGCTGCAGACTTAATACACAGTGAACACCAGAAAATAGGAGTGACAGTTTTAGGATTATTCTATTAAATGATTGTTAGAAAACAAATGTGAATATTATGGACAAAATGGGGAAACAGAAAGGAAAATGCTTTCCTTAGTCACTTGAGACCTGACCAGTCTAGAGATGGATTCTTTCGCCCCACATTTGAGTTATAATCTGACCTAGGCATTTCCTGAGACCTTTGGTAGGGAAGATTTTGAGGAAATTATCAAGAAACTAATGACTAATCTTGATTGTTTTGAATTGGCTCCGATACTTGTTTCAAGAACTGATTAACACTTTTGGGCACTGTGACGGGGTGTATAAACCTGACACTGGCTGGTGAGGGTTAATGAACTGCTCAGGGCAAACCTTCAATTCTTGGTTTCAGAGTAGCAGCTGTGTTAGTCTGTATCCACAAAAAGAAAAGGAGTACTTGTGGCACCTTAGAGACTAACAAATTTATTTGAGCATAAGCTTTCGTGAGCTACAGTTCACTGCATCGGATGCATACTCTTTTCTTCAGTTCTTGGAGAGGGTTGAGCAGAAGGCAGGAGACGCTCAGGGAGCCATTGCCTATTGAGGCCCCCTTCAAGAGAATCGAGGGCCTGATGCTGAACCATTACTTTGGAACTATTAGTAGAGACTTACTTGTGGGTGCTGAACCAGTCTATTGCTTACTAGCTTCCTTCAGAGAGTCTTGCTGTAATCTTGTATATGTTCGTGTACGTGGTTTTCTTTTTGATCTTTGATAGCCCTGAAAGGGGTGGACTTCCACGGACTCAGTGGCAGGGTTGTCTCTCCTACAGCCAGACCTGTGCCAGAGATGGAAGATTAAAGGCTGTGGGAGTTTAAAGCTCATCCATCACCTAGGGTGTGCCCTGGGAGACCAGCTCTTTGCCAGGCATATGCTGCCCTGACTTACAGTCCATCCAATCTTATTGGCTTCACGGATGTTATGTGGGATGTAAGTCAGGACAAATTTGGCACACTATATTTAAAGCTTATTTTTTTTCCCAGTGTTTATTTTTTAGCAGTTTTTGAGTTTTATTGTAGCTGTTTAAAATCAAGGGGCTTCTGGGCATTTCCATTGTATATACCAGGGATTGGCAACCTTTCAGAAGTGGTGTGCCGAATCTTCATTTATTCACTCTAATTTAAGGTTTTGTGTGCCAGTAATACATTTGTACGTTTTTAGGTCTCTTTCTATAAGTCTATAATGTATAACTAAACTATTGTTGTATTTAAAGTAAATAAGGTTTTTAAAATGTTAAGCTTCATTTAAAATTAAATTAAAATGCAGAGCTCCCCGGATCGGTGGCCAGAACCCAGGCAGTGTGAGTGTCACTGAAAATCAGCTCGCGTGCCGCCTTTGGCACGCATGCCATAGGTTGCCTACCCCTGGTATATACTGTAATGAGTAATTTATAGAATATAATATATAATGAGACTCTCTTAGTAATGTTCCCTAGTGCATTTTAACATAGTGCTGTTTTATACAAGACATTAGACACAAGTAACCATTACCAGTGTTTTTCCAAAGTTTATCCAATAAACACAGATTTCATTTTTTAACCTCAGGGAGGTATTGTCTGGGTTTATTGGTTAAAACCGAAAATCAGAAGTCCTATGTTACATAAATGGTCTGTAAATTGTATTCTGCATTAAGCAACTGCATTCAGTCAGTTCTGCTAGATAACTGTCAAATAATGCAAATAGGATTTTTCCTTTAGATCTACAACCTTTGTAAAAGAGATTTCTTATCATTTAAAACATTTCAAAAGCTCTTTGTCAGGGTAGTTTGACCATCAAATTTGCAAGCGTGTAATCTGTCTCAAATATTCCAGGAGAATAATAATAATAAGACTTTACTATGTTGTTGGAAAAGCATGTTCTGATTTAATGAACTGGAAACTGGGAGTAGGAGTCTGAGAGAGAAGTTTTCTTTTTATGAAAAACTTAAAATCGCTAAGGCTGTTTTGAGAGTACAAGAGAGATTATGTATGTATTGAACTTGCTTCTAGATGTTATCTTGACATCATAACATGCTAATTTAAACTGGAACTAGTTACGTTGTCTATTTATTTCTGTGCAATTCTTCAGTTGCTCAGCAAGCTACAGCCTGTTGTGATATTTTCATTAATTGGCTTCAGAAAGTGATTTTATGACTTCCTTCACCTCCAGTTAGTTTTGGAATGCGTCCTTGTATGAGAAGCCATTAAAGAACCAATTTTTGACTTGTTGAGGTGGCTCTTGTTTTTTATATGGACATGATGTTTTCCTGTAAAAGAACAGTAAATGTTGCTACTAATTTGTGGTTGTCTGTTGAATTTAGTTTGACATGCTCTTCTAATTTTTTTCAGGTTTATTTCAGGTTTTTATCATAAAAGTATGCAGACTCCTCTGACTTCTGGCAGCTCTTTGGTTGCTATTAATTCCATGTGTATTCTCTTACATAATTCATATTTTAGCCTGTGGTATATAACCTGTTTTTGCATAGAGAGATATTGTCAGGGAAAGACAATAGTGAGAGTTTCAAAGGTATTATTTCTGGCATGAATTGCACTGAGTTAGGACTGTTGTGTATGTTTTTCTCAGACCGCATGTTAATGACTTTCTTTCCAGTGAATTGATTTACACAAGAGATTGGTTTTAAAGAATCTTCACCAATCCGTTCAAATACTTAAAATTTAAAATATTTTAAGTTTAATTTAAAAAAAATACACTGCCTCGGAACTACTGTAAGATGTCATTTTAAAGTGATGCCAGTTTATTATTTAGAGTAATAAATGAATGCTACATTTAGTTATTTTCTCCTTTACCAGTGTCATTTCATGGACCAATTTTTTCTGTGCAGCTCCATTTGTCTACAAAAGATTATGGCTCCGGTCCTGTGAAAGCCCCAAGTGCTGAACTCCTGCTGAAATAAATGAGAGTTCCATATGCAGAAAGCTTGCAGGATTAGGCCTTTTATTGAAAGAATTCATTCATTAACTGATGATTTCTTCATTCTTAGGCACTCAAGGTCTGATTTCCCCTCCCATCTCCGCCACAAAACTGGGATTTAAATACCACTGTAAAGTACACTGCTGTAAATCCAGAGTAAATCACTGAGTCAATTTACACCAATGTTAGAGTTTAATTTTGCCGTAGGTACCCAACTGAGTGACTAAATGGCCTGTTTAAAGTGTCACTAGACACGTGTCCTTCTCTGGGACCTGCATCTTGACACAATGGGAAAGCTTGTGTGTTCCAGTGACTGGAGAACTGTGCCAGCTGGAGTTCTAACCCCTGGTAGAGCCACCCAAGCGCAAAGCGTAGGGACCAGATGAAAACGGGTTGAGTGATAGGCCAAGGACCTATCCTTGTAAAAAAATTACTGTACAGGAAACACAGCAAGGATAGCTATTTGAGCAAAAGGCATGATAAGAGATGGTGGAGTCTTGTTCATGCCCTAAATGATGTTTTATGGTGCAGGAAGGATTCAGACACTAACTTAAACAAACTACATGTTTTTTCATACAGTTGTATACCTGACATTCACAAAAGCAGGCCCTCATGATTCTTCTCCCCTTCAGCTAGTCTTTTGTCTTGATTCTGCTTATTTCTGTTGTGTTCCCACTCTGCTTACCAGATAGCATTGGTGTGCCAGCTGCGGCATCTGAATTCTTGGGGAGAAGTTATAATGTGAAGCTTATGCACACCCTTGAACCTTTGAATATACATTACATTAATGAGGTTGTACCTGTATTTATGTCTGAAGGAGAGCCTTTATTCAGAGCCTATATTTTCAAGCATTTGAAACTTTTTAAAACTACCTTTTGACTTAAAATTTCTCTTGTTTATTATGCAGTGACATATTTGTTGATAGAGTTGCATTTGATTACTGTCTCTGAAATTTTTGAGATTTAAATAAAAACTTTTTTTACATGTCAAGAAGTCTGAGCTTTAGTTTTTGATTTGCTTTCTGGTAACTGACTTCATTTCAAGATTTCTAACTTAATGAGGACATGTTTGTCTTCTTTAAAAACACTTTGTTTAGAAAGAAGATGCTATAAACATTGCAAAACTGTATTGTACGTATGCAGTATGTTTTTTTTCTGTTAAATTTTAATGAGTTATGGAAATATGACAGTATAAATGTATGTTTTTTAGAACAGATTTTTTTAATGTAGGAGCTTTGCATACACTTTTTAAAAATTGCTGATTAGTTATATTTAAGAAAAATTTAAAAAGTATGCCTGCAATTATTGGATGAGATTTTGTTCTCAGGTACACTAGAGGAACATCATTAATTTCAGGGGAACTCAGATTTACACTGATGTGGGTGAGAGCTCACTGTATTTTAGTTCTTCAAAATACCATGTCTTTGAGAAGTAATATATATTGATGTTTGACTGCCTTAAATAGCCATTTTCTTTGGTCAGATGAAATAACCATTTCCCTTAACTTTTTATAGGAAGATGTAACTGGTTGGCTAATACCAGGAGAAGGGTACACACCCGAACCAATGGAATATCATCACCTAAATGAAATAGATGCTAAACTCCAAGTAGTACTCTCTAATGGTGATTTCTGTGCAAGTCACAGCTCCTGCTCAAAAGTCCCAAGCCAAATTTATCAGGTACAGTAATGCACAATGCCTATGAATTATATATTTATTTTTTGGAAATATATGTTGAGGTTTAATGAAAATAAACATGTAGAGAAGTGCAAAATACACTTAAATATATCAGGAAGTTTCAGATGCAAAGTCTGAGTACTGTAACTTGAACTTCATTAAACACACAATGGACTTCAGTTGCTCTTTTATAATGTGGTGTTACCAGAGTTGCTGACAGTTCTGTCTTTTGGGGACTAAAATTGAGTTTCCTCTTTGTTTTTGAATATTCAGATGGCTTTCCATGATCCACTGCTGAAGTATGTGCAGTGACAAACAGTAACAAATATAGTGAAAATAATCCCCCTTTGGATGTTAGTAGTAAAAGGTGTTCAAGTTCTTTTACTTGGAAAAAAGCATTATTCAGATTTTGTGCCTGGAGGAGTCTAAATTCTCATTCATGTCTTTCAGTAATGTAGTGTACTATGAACAAATGAGCAGAAAGTTTGCTTTGAGTAAAGCAAAATACTGGTGTGTGTTTTTGAAAATGCTGATTAAAAATGTATAATACAAAAGCATTCATGCTTATAAACAAAAGTAATGCAGTGACATATCCCAATTTTTGCATCTCTTTACACAAATTTGTTCTCTTGTACTATATCTACTGTGCTGTTGGAACAGATGTTTCTACAGAGCCATACATTTCCAAAGCCATATGTCCTGAGTCACCTATTTATCAAAGAAACAAAAATGTCTTTGAGCTAAAGAGGAGTGAATTTGTCTTCTCCCTTGAGGTTTAGAGTTTTTTTTTAAATTGTATCATTAGTTTTATTTTTATATTATCTCTGGATTATCTCCTTTTTGGCATCCTGTTTCTGACATTTTGTCAGAATAATAGAATTGTTCCTCCAGCTGTGCGAGTGCAGGAGGAAGCTCTTCCTGATACTGAGGTTAATGCCCTACTAGCAACAGATGCTTTAGTGTGAAGCAGCAACCCCCGCTGGTCATTAATTCAATCACATTCATAAATATGGTTAATTTACATTGTTTTTAGGCTTATCGGTCCAATCCTGCAAACACTATCCAGTATAACACTCACAACCATGAGCTGTCCAGCTGAAGTCAGTTGGACTATTCATGATAAGAAGCACTATGTTTTGCCACATTGGACCTGTCATTGCTTTTGCAGAAAAATGCTCTGAAGTTTTTGAGTTGACTTGACCATAAAAACAAACCAAAACACATCTGAAATACTGTGCTTATATGGTTTTTAGAAAGTTTAAAAACATTTTATTACCTTTTAGGTATGTTATAAAAACTAAAGAACTATAAAATGTATTAATTCCATAAATAAATATTCCATACCACTGATTACAAATTGACCATAAACTGGCAGTTTTGAAGTACATAAAGGTGGGTTGCTTTTTTTGACATCCTATTTAGGAAATTATTTGCAAGGTTTTGTATGGTATCTTTGTTTTTACGCAAATATTCTTTCTAATGAGAGAGCCATTTGGATGAAATGTACCTAACAATTGAACTCTTTAAAAGGACTTCTTTATTAATTCAGTCCAGCATCCTTTTATATTCTCTATTTAAGTGTCATGGGTTTTGTCTAAACTTTGTGTTAACCAATTGGTACCCAGATAATTGTTCTCAAACTGCAAAAAGAAAAGGAGTACTTGTGGCACCTTAGAGACTAACCAATTTATTTGAGCATAAGCTTTCGTGAGCTACATCTCACTTCATCGATGCATCCGATGAAGTGAGCTGTAGCTCTCGAAAGCTTATGCTCAAATAAATTGGTTCGTCTCTAAGGTGCCACAAGTACTCCTTTTCTTTTTGCGGATACAGACTAACACGGCTGCTACTCTGAAACCTGTTCTGAAACTGTAATTCCTATACGTATATAATCCTGAATATACTCTCACTGTCTCACACCTGAATGAAGCCTTGACCTTCTGCAGCCTAACACCAGCAGAATCCTTTTCAAGTGCCTTTTTGATAGTTACTTTTTATGAAAGAGATAAGGGCAACAAGTAATCCTTATTACCTCTGAACACTAGGGAATCTTTTCACATGTACAGAAGAGAGTTAGAAAAGCCAACTTCAGAGAGAGTTCTGTTTTTGGTGTGGACTTCAGAATAAAGCTGACCTTGGAAAACTGCAGGAGTATTCTATGAAGAGCAAAAGACTAAGAGAAAGCTTTTGTCCTTCCTCTCCCAAAAGTCCTGTAACAAGGGCAAGGTCCTGTAACTTTTTCTTCCACAATGGTTCTAAAATCCACCCTTTTTGATTTGTCCAAAGCCTTATCATCTCCTGCCTCAACTACTGCAGTCTCTTCATCTTGGATGTTTCAGTACTAACCTCTTCTTCATTCAAATTGCTCCTCTTCTTCATTCAAATTGCTGCTGCCAAAAGCCTTTCTTGTCTGTTGCTTCAAGATGATGTCTCCTCTGAGCCACTCCACTGTAATTCAAACTTCTCGTACTTGCCTTCAAGGCCTTATCACATAACCCTTTTTTAATCACTGAGTTGGTCTCCTTTTGCTTTTCCTCTGCTCCATCAGCGATTTCAGCCTTGATACCTCCTTTATTTAGTTCTGTGACAGAGCCTCCCTCTTGTCCCTTATTTTTGGAATGCTTTCTCAAGTTCATCAACCAACATCCCTGAAGTCACTGAAATCTCTCGTTAAAAACTCATTTTTGCCATGTTTCCTACAGAAGTGAGGCAGAAGAAAGGTAACTAAACAATAAAGGAAACAGAACCTGTCACCCATGTCCATCCTTGCTTCTCCTTTCCCTTCTTCCTATTTTCTGTGTAACCCTTATGTTTGTCATATTGTATTTAGGTTGTACACTCTAGGGACACTGTCTTTTAGTTGCTTTGTAAGGCACCCAAGTGTTTCCTGTTGAATGCTCTGGGGATTTTCCCTTTCCTGTAATCACTGTGTTGAACTTTTAGAAGGAATAACTTGATTTATAAATTTTAATTGTGACAGATCTGCTCCACACCAGATATAATGTGCCCCATTATAAGAGCATCTCTTTCACCGATTGTACTTCCGAAGATTTATAGGAGTATAAGTGTAAATGATATGAGGTTAGGTAACCAGTAATACATGCAAGGGCATGGAGCTATGGTGTTTTGCATGCTTCATCATTCATCCAAAGGCTAAGCAAATATAAAGTGCCTAAAAAAAAAAGTTACCAAAAAAGGGAAAATAAGGAATGAATCAGGAAAAAAACACACCTTCTTTTAGCACTTGCCTTCCACAAACCATCATTTGGTAGATGAGCTACAGTTAGTAGTAATCACTCAAAGTAAGCTTTCAATTTATATTAATATTAGAAACACAAAAACTATGGTAAAATAACATTAAGGTTCTAAAGTCAAGCATTCAAAAGTTAGGAAATGCTAGAATTGAAGTTGCCCGTGTAACCTTAATTTAGCTTCCTTTGGCATTTCTGCATTATGTCTTTAATTACATGATTGCATGCTATGTTTTCCACAAAATGCCTGCCTCCATCACTGCACAGAATGGACCTGCTTTGGGGATGACTCAGGGTTGAAGTTATCTGATTGTTTGTAGAACCTCTGCCTCATTTGTTGCAGCAGTTAAGTGATTCGTGAAGGAGGCATGGGATTGTGGGAAGAGAATGCGTAGTTTCATGATTAAAGCAGTTGAATGCTGCCCTGGAGATTTAGATTTTATCCCTACCTTTGTCTCAGAGTTCTTATGTGATGGTAGGCAAGTCATGTAAACCACTTTTTTCACAGGTGGTCACTAATTGTGTGTTCCTCATCTTCTGGGTGCCCAAAGTGAGACCCTGGCATTGGACTTACAAAAATGCCGAGCACTCACCATGGCAGCTGAAATCAGTGGGAACTGTGCTTTGAATGTATAAAGTGATGTATAATGCTAAGTGTTCTGAAAAATCAGGACCAAAGTATCTCAAATTGGGCACCTAAAATTAGTGGGAACTAGTGACCTTAATCTCTCTGTGCCTCATTCATAAAATGGGAATAATACCCCCGCCCCTTGTCTTGCAAGGTTGCTTTGAGAATTAATGTTTGTAAAGCACTCTGATACTATAGGTATGAGCACGATAGAAAACCCAGGAGAAAATTAATAATTCTATGTTACAGGATTTGAATAGTGTGCAGTAAATAAGACATTGCACCACACATTTGAAAGAATGAGATTGAAGCGAAATACTGAATAGCTGCTTATTAAGTGAGCACCTTCCATCCTGTGCACTGAATGAAGCAGGGGTCCTGTGGAAAAAATAGTATGTGATCATGTAATTAATAGCTGTATGATAATGAATATGCACAAGGGAGCAGAATGAAGGTTGCACAGGCAACCTTTAACTGTAGTTTTCGTGTGTATAACTTCCTTGGTTTATTAAAAACAAACTCAAAAAAACTAGCTTTGGGTATGTCACATATTGACACCCACACAGTTAATCATCAGAGTTAGAAAATTTAGATCCACTGCACAGACATCTACCACTTGAACTGAGGGAGTAACTGGTGGTGGTGGTAGTACTAGTAGTAGTAGATTGTCATTCTTTAAGCAGACAACTACTAGAAGGGGGTGAGATGTACTTTGAGAGTGGATTTCACAGATACTTACAGACAGCAGAGGAATAATAAGACTCAAGAAACCTGGGTTCCATTACAGGCTCTGTAGGGGAGTGTTCTATAATGGTCACAGACCCTTCTGCCCGTTCCCCTTCCACCCCATCCCCTCCAACCTGTCCCTGGCTCAGTCATGTCTCTGCCTATCCTACTCTGCCTACTCTGTCTCTGCCTATCCACTCCTCCAGCTTCTCATCCCAGTTCCCTGCCCAGCCAGTCCCAGTTCCTTTCCTGCCCTGCCTCCTTCTGCCTAGTCTTCTTGCCCAGCCAATCTTTCCACTTCCAAGCTCTTTGATATGTCCCACTCCTGTTTGTTCCCTCTTGGTTGGCTTGCAGCCTCCCCTCACTGGCTTCTTATCCAATTTCAGTCCCCCCCCCAC